GGGGCCGGGACTGCGCTGCTGCCGCAGCCAGCACGCGCCCGCCAGCCCCGCAGCCTGCGCAGCCGCGGAGCAGCCGCACCCGCCTTTGGTTCGCGCATCCTCGCTCCGGTTTCGCAGCGTCCCTCTTCCTCCTGGCATCTCTAGTCCTCGCCCGGACTCACCTTCCCGGGCCCCCTACCTTCCTAGCTGCTTCCCTTCTTCTGCCCTTCGTCCCATTCGCTGCATCTCCCTTGCCTCCCTCCAAGTCCTGCTCCACTGGTCTCCCTTAGGCGCAAGTTTGACTCTTCTAGACCCATGCTACTCTGAGTGTGGTCCGCGGACCAGGAGTATCGCCATCACCTGGAAGCTTGTTCGGTATGCGGAATTTCAGCCCTCACTGCAGAGCCATGATTCAGGATCTGCATTTTAACATGATCCCCAGAAGATCCGAATGCTTGTTCAAGTTCAAGAAACGCTGCTCTAGAGGGTTTACCTTGGACCCATCATCAGACCAGGGCTTGTCTGAAACGCTGCCTCCCCCACCTTGTTCCAGCACTTTTTGGTTTCTATAAAGCACTTATTATACTCATTATTTCTTGAGTTTGTTACAGAAGGAAGTGAAAATAGCAAGATCCCCGTTATATAGATAGGTAAAATGAGGCGCTTAGAGCCAGAGTGGAAACTAAAACCCAGCTCTCCCGACTGGATTCATCTGTATCCTCTGCAGATTTTTGTAGGGTAGTAATCAGGAGACGCTGCTGGCGCTCGTGTGACCGGCCCCCACACTGAATTCTCCACTTCCCCAAGTCCATTTCTGCAGCTTGCAATTCCCTCGTGGTTGTTTACTCAGCCATCCATTTACACACACCAAGCACTTAACTACGTGCCAGGTCCCGGGGTTCTTTTCCAATAATGGTGGTTGCGTGTGATAACGCATCCAAGCAGCTAAGCTAATTTCTATCAGAGATGTGGACACAATTCCTTTCATGCTCGTATCACAGAACCAGCATTTTAGCCTTTTTCTTTTTATTGTTTTTTATTTCATTGCATAAACAAAGAAAATAATTATGAAGGCAGAAAAGCAGGGAGGTTCCAAATGCAGGCCCAGAAGTCAGATTTGCCTGGGGTGAAATTAGCAGGTTCCCTTTGTCAGTAAGCTCCATGATGGCAGTGAAGATTAGGTAAAATGAAGAGGTAAGGATCAAGAGGGTTCAGTGGTATTAATGGCAGGGAACAAATAGGGATAAGATTACAAAAATACCAATATTCAAAAGGCAATTGGTAACCTCAACCTTTTTTGGCCTGGGTGGCTGGGAGACAGGGGTGGTACGACTGTCAAAATAGGGAGAAGTGCTGGGCGACATGGAGTTCACGTGTTTGCTGTTAGGTATCAGCAGATGGTGGGGTGTACGAATGGAGTTTAAACATGTTTACCCTCCTAGGTAAAATCAAGGTGTAATTCATGAAATTACTAGTTGTTGCAAGAAATAAATCAGATTTATTGTTTGAAAAAAGTCTACAATTACTTAAAAAATCAAAGAGACTTCTTCCCCCAAAACACTTTTGCATCATTCTCTGATGCATACAATTCTAAAATACAAAACCAATCTATTTAAAGCCTGTCAAAGTGTAATCCTTCAGAAAGCAAAAAAAAAAAAAAAACCTCTTTCTTAAAAATAAAAATTTCTTTTCTCTGAGAGGCCCTGGCAGTACAGTGGTTAAGTGCTCTGCTGCTAACCAAAAGGTCGATGGTTCAAACCCACCAGCCGCTCCACAGCAGAAAGATGTGGCAGTCTGTTACTGTAAAGATTTACAGCCTTGGAAACCCTATGAGGCAGTTCTACTTTGTCCCACAGGGTTGCTATGAGTCGGAGTTGACTCGAGGCAGTGGGTATATATGGCTATTCTTTTCTCTTCCTGTTCACCAGGGAAAGCATCAGTCTTCCGATTTCAGTGTTGATTTTCTGGTTTGTGAATCCAAGCAGTCACCTATTACTTTCTTTTTTATTTCCTTTATTTTGGTTACTACAATTAACAGTGATGGTGTAAGATAGAAGGCAAATAAAAATCAGGTTATTCACTTTCCTGTAAATTGGTCTGATAAAAGAGTGTTTTTCTTTCCCCCCTTGAGGAAGGGAGATAGTGGGGGAAGGTTTGCAATCACAGCCGAAATGAGGTTTGCAGATAATCTGTGGATTTCAGTGATCTACCCCTGATCAAAGACATGCGGCCCATGAATTCCTAGGGGTCACAGATGGGCTTCGGAGGTGATGTCAGGCCCCTCTGAAAGTGCTGGAATAATGCTATGATGTATGCATTTTTCTAGGGAGATGACCCATAGCTTTAAGGATCACTCAAAGTCTGTGTGCCTCTCCAGGGCCTCCTGCTTGAATCTTCTGTCATCATAAGCACACACTGGAACCCACTTGGGCTCCCAATTCCCTACAGACTTGACTGTATCCATTTCATGAGGTTCTCTCCCATTCCTTAAGTTGCCTTTGGGGTTTTCTTATTCTTCTTGTTTTCTTACAAGATTTAAGCCCTGGAAAGACTGGAGGGAGACCTGTTCCCACCCTCAGCACATGTTCCCATCTTAGTTTTGTCCCAAGTTTTACGGAGATCCTCTGCTCCCCACCAGTGTGAATCCACCCAGTGGCCAAGATATACTGTTGTTTCCTCTTCTGTGTTCACTTCCTGGGAAAGAACCTTCTCTGAACGTTCTGAGACCACTAGCTAACCAAGAGTGGGCTATTCAAACAAGGGACCTTGGAGATTAACCTGAGTTTAATTTCATTTTAATTTTTAAAAAAAAGCACCTTTATTTTCTCTTCTCTTCAGTCATTTCTCTAAAAAAAATTTCTTTCTACTATAAAAACTCCCCAAATCAATGTTCTATTTTGATATCTGACCAGTAACAGATCTGCCCATGTTTTTGACCACCTAGTATATGCGATTTTTCACTTTTGATTTCTTAAAAGTAAAAGCTTTGATCTTAGCAGTTCTTCAAAAAGTTAAACATAGAGTTGCCATATGACCCAGTAATTCCACTCCTAGGTATATACCCAAAAGGAATGAAAACATATGTCTACACAAAGACTTACACATGAATGTTCATAGCAACATTACTCATAATAGCCAAAAAGTGGAAATAAATGTCCATCAACTGATGAGTGGATAAATAAAGTGTGGTATATCCATACAATGGAATATATTCAACAATAAAAACAAATGAAGCACTGATCCATGCTATAACTTGGATGCCTTGGAAACATTATGTGAGTGAAAGAAGCCAGACATAAAAGGCCACATATTGTATGACTCCATTTATATGAAATGTCCAGAATTGGCAAATCTATAGAGACAGAAAGTAGATTAGCAGTTGTCAGGGCCTGGGGAAGAGCAAATTGGGAGTGACTGCTAATGGGTATGGGGTTTTTTTTTGGGACTGATGAAAACATTCTGGAATTAGACTGTGGTGATGGTTGCACAACATTGTGAACATACTAAAAACCACTGAATTGTACACTTTAAAAATGGTTAAAATGCTGTATTATACCACAGTTTAAAAAGAAAAGGCTACAAATTTGGACATGGTTAAAGAAAGCTGATGACGATACCAGAGAATGCCTGTATTATTTTGGGAAATAAGATTCTGAGTGCATCCAAGTGGGATCTTCTGAATGCTCTGGGACTTAGTCTTCAAGCTTTTTAAACAAGGACCTCCTATACAGTCTACAATTCACAAATGCTGTGGACTGCAGGATTCCCAGGCCCTTTGCAGTAAACCCCCATGCCGACCAGGAGTCTGTGGCCTACAGTTGGGAACCTTGCTTTGGGATGATTGTGTCAGTAAGGTGACACATAGGTGTGTGCCAAGTGACCGCATGGTGCTGTTTTGGTTTTAAGTATATAAAAAACGTGAAGTGATTGTACCAATTCATTTTACACTCTGTCAATCCACCCGACACAATTCCATCTCCTCTGGTCACAATGTTAAGCACCCGTCATACATTTAAATAGTCAAATAATCAGGACAACTGCTGAAACAATAGAATCCTCTCAATTTTACTGGTTAGAGTTGAGCTGCCAAAGGTACTGGGTTTTCATATACAGAAACAGCCAACTTGCTTGTGGTCAGACTTCCAGTGACATCAACCTTCTGTGAAGAATCTGTGAACCCAGGGGGGAAGTAAGGAATAAGCAGGAGGCTCGGAAGCTCCACAAAACAGCGGCCAAAAGCCCATGCATCCTCCTCAGAAGCGAAGCAACCCTGACATGTATGTTAATACTTGGTTTCCTGGCTCCCCCAAGAAACCTTCAGTTTATCCCTGGAGGTTTCAATCAGAGAGCAGGAGATGAAGAACAGAAGCCCAGAAAGCAAGTTAGAAGAGGAGAGTTTTGGATTGGCAAGAGGTGACAACCCCAGACACAGATATCTCCCAGATTGTACAGGAACGTATTTTGTATCATGTGTACGAGATAAAGAACGGCTAAAGCTGTTTCAAAATACAGCTGGGGGTCATGTAGTTGTGATAAAAGGCCCCAAACACTACAATTGCCCTGACATCACTGACGGAGCAGACGGCAGTAAAAACCATCAATGAGGAGAGCGTTAATAGTCTGTGAAAGGCAAAGCCAAGGCCGACACATTTGGATAGCTCCTGATGACCTCACTGTACCATACCAAGGTACAGAAGGGGCTGATGCTTATAATGATGACCATGACTCATCAAGAAAAGGTTAAATACTCTCCGGTATACTCTGTTTAGTAAGGCAGGGAAGTGTGTAACACATTTTAGAAAGATTTCCCTCAAAAAATATTAAAATTTTATAGAGTCAGCACTTAAAGGGTTAATCCTCAGTTGTCTGAATATCTGCTTACATGCCTCATTTTACAACAGTACTAGTAAATGAGGCATTACTTTTTTTTTTTTTATAATCATTAGTATCAAATTATTGGCACCATTCAGTTTTAAGGATAAGGACAGGAGAGCAAACTATACAATACAACATAAAAATACAGTTCTGATACAAATGTACAAGATCATTTCCACTTAACAAGTAGTCATAAGAAACGGATGGACATTTTACACACAAGGAAATACAGTTAGTAAATCATCACATGGAAAAGTGCTCAATCTTGCTAGCAATTAATGAAATAAAACAACCTCTCAAGAACAATTATACACACCTGTTAAACTAGCGAAAATAAATAAAAATGGCAAAACCCAATACTGGCAGAGTTACTGGTAAATAGAAATGCTTATACATTGCTGGTAGCATTATAAATTGTAGAGGGGATTCAAACATTCAGAGGGGATGGGAGTTGAACTAAATGACCTCCTAGGTACTTCCAACCCAGAGATTGGATCTTTCCAGAAAGCAACCTGGCAATATGCAACAAGAGCTATAAAATAATTCATGCTCTTTGACTTTGTAATCCATCTTTGGAGATATGCCCAAAGGAATAATCCAAAAAGAAGGAACATTTTTTTTTTTAATAAAGACATTCATAGCCGCACTATTTGTTAGAGTGAAAAATTGGATCTAACTCAAATATCTAACAATAGGGAAAAGTGAGGTTAACCACAACACATTGATACAAAGATATCTGAATTGGTGAGAGCAGGATCTGTGTTGATAAGAGGAGAGATGTGTTAGGTGGGGAAGTACAACAAAAGACTATGTTCACGCTAATCATAGTATGTAAAAATATGTGCATATACATTGAGAAAGCTTGGGAAAAAATTTAGAGGGATAGTTTGTGGTTAAGGGGTTCCTTTTTTCCTGCAAAGTTGTTCAAGTGCATAATAAAAATTTAAAAACACATTTCCTGAAACTATATAAAAAGAGCAAAATTTCTTCTGTTCTAGGTTCTATCACCAGGACATGAACTGATCAACTTTTGAAGTAACTTCCCTTTATGGAACACCCAAATGAATCGTCCTGATATTGAATCATCTTAACCTTATAAGAATTTTTAGATAACTTAAGCTTATAATTTCCTGCTTTGAGTTCAATGATAAATTCTATTTATCCCAAATAATATCGTATCCACCAAGATCACAAGTTAAATTACATTTAAGATTAAGCTGAAGTACTTTCAGTCATGGTGATGTGCAACTTTCTTTTTTTTTAGTTCATCTACTCATGTCTGAATAAAAATGAATGTTAAGGACTTTAGAAGACTGGTGTATTTATCAGTGTAAATGAAAAACCAGCAATAAAGAAGTAGTTATTCCCTCATTAAAAATGACTCTTTAACAAACAGTCAAAGCTTGGTGCAAGTTTCAGTCATACAAAATCACATGGTTGAGATTGATAGCAAAGGATTCTGCGCCATATTAACCCTGTGGTTATTAACATATGTACATGGGTACTTCCGAAAAGGAATCCCCATTTTCCCATCTTTTTACTCCTAGACTTACCAAATCCTGTCTCAGCTACACTGAGTAGTAGAAAAACTCTAATGCTCAGGAGAAGTAAAATCACTTTGCCAATAAAAACCAAGCCAGAAGTTGGCTTTAACTGACCAAGGAGACCTGGAAGCACAGAGCACGCAACATTTGTAAGTTGTGCTAGAGTGCGCACAAAGCCCAAAGAACGAAAACGGACAGAAGGCACCGTGCCGTCCTCCAGGCGACAAGGGAAGAATTTCACAGTTCGGTCATCAACAGTCTTTTCATCATTTTCTCTCTCTCCAGTTCCTGCCGGAGCGTCTCTGCGCTAAAGAAGAGTAGGTGACAAAATAGTGAGATATAAAAGGCAGAATTTGGTTAACATCATGAATTGCATTAAATAACAAAGAAGGCACCCTTCTAAACATTTAAAAACTCCATCTACTGAACCAATACCTTTTTATTTTGAAAAGTAACTGACTTTGTTTGGATGGATCGTTCATTGTACCAAGCCTTGAGGATAGAGATGAGGAAGAGAAGGATCATGTCCACACAATGGTTGGTAAAAAGAGAAAAACAGATCAAAAGTCCATATTTTTGAAAGTCTTAGGGCATGTTATGCTTCATCAATGCTGTAAAGAATTTATAACCAGTTTAACCAGCTGCCATCAGGTCAATTGTGACTCATGGCAACCTCATGTGTGTCAGAGTAGAATTGTGTTACGTAGGGTTTTCAATGGCTGGAATTTTGGAAGTAGATCACCAGGTGCTCCTAGGTGAACTCAAATCTCCAACCTTTCAGTTAAGCAGCGAAGCACATTAGCTGCACCACCCAGGGACTCCATAACAATTTACAGGGAAGACATTTATCGGTATTTGACCAGGCAAAGTTAGAGGAACCTCCTCAATGTTGCCATGGCATCCTGAATGTACTCATCAAAATGTTTGATTCCTATCTTGTATGCCTTACCAGGCTGTGAGCTACTTGAGGGGAGGGACTGTGTCTTTTGATGCCTTTGTATAATTTAGAAAGATGCACTCTGTGGAGAGATGCAGCTCTGCAGGCACAGGGCTTGGCAAGTGGGGCACAGGCAGGATTTCAGCACCTCTGCCCCTCATGTGGGTGGATCTGTGCAGGGCACAACTGTTTGCATGAGCCCTGTTCATCGCCAGCCCCTAACACAGCACCTAATATACAAGAGAGGCTCAATAAATATCTTTATCTACCAAAACTGTCTCTTTCTTTCTACTCTGAAATGTGTTTGTAGCACATCATCCAGGTCGATTATAAGAGCTTTCCTTATCTGGAACTGTAATCCTTAGCAGAATGGGGAGGGGGATAGAAAAATCTGTATCTGGGGTTTGAAAAGTAATTTCACTTTTATGATACATGTTTGTGTTTAGAAAGTTAAGAAATAACCTATTCTTTTCATAATACATTGCTAAATAAAGTAACAACAAACATGACATACACTACTATACTCTCAGCGGTGTGCTAAAGGCTAGAATGTGGAATCCTCACAATGAATCTACGAGTAGGTACTGTTTCTTGTTGTTTCCATTTTTCACAGATGAGGAAACTGAAGCTTAGGGAGTTTAAGTAACTTGCTCAAGGCAGGAAGTGTTGGAACAGAAATTTGATTCCAGGCAGTCTGATTCCAGAGCTTATACTCCTAAGTGGTGAGGACAACCCAGAAAACAGATCCTCAGTGGGGTGTAAAGGTAGGTTCTAAAGTTTTTATGTTTCTCAAAAGAGAGCCTGGGAGGGATTTTTGTCTGTGTTGTTCTGCTGTGTCTCTAGCACTTAGCACAGTGAACTAATTGTTGGATTACTGAGCAGGTAGCAGCCTCAGCTCCCCCTGACCTGTGTCTCTGAAGTAGTGCACGAGGCACACAAAAGCAGCCAAGGAAGCTGAGCTTGCTTTTATCAGTTTTCTTTCCAGCTCACTTGCAAAACCCTCCCCCTTTTATCCCTCCACACAGGGGTGGACTATCCAATAGGCAAGGTAAGCACAGTGCTTACCTGGTTTACCAGATCATCTGTAGTGAACAATTTCACATTTTTTACCACATCAAAGATTCCACTTCTAAGTATGGCTGGCATCTGGCCTTCTCCCAACCCCACAGCATCTTCCTACAGAATCAAAGCCTCTTTTTAAATTTACAGTCCCTAAGAGGGGTAGATGACCCAATAAGCAAGGTAGGCACAGGCTTACTTGTGTTTACTAACTATATAGACTTGACATACCGCAAGCAACATGTGTCCCTCAAAGCACAACTACCCAGGATACAGCTGACGGTGCTGATCTGTGCTGATCTGACTGACCTGGCTGCCAGAGACACAGGCTTCCGGGTGGTGTAGATGGTCTGCACTGTGGACACGGTCTCTGTCAAAGGCCTCAGGGCCGCGGCTGGAATCAGTGGGGAAGACTGCCCAGGGCAGTACTGCAATTTACTATCTCGAAAGGTGGCCTGGAGAAGAAACAGAAAAGAGGATGTTAATTTCACTCAAGTTCCATTTTCACACTGTCAGCTGTTCCCTAAGCCTCATCATACAGTTCTTGTTATTTTTTAATAATAACTAAAGTCAAAGCAATTTATTAAGTGATTTTACTTTGTGTCAGACTCTATGCTACGCACTTTATATACATTACCTCTTTTTTTCTTTATTGTACTTTAGATGAAGGTTTACAGAACAAACTAGCTTCTCATTAAACAGTTAGTACACATATTGTTTTATGACACTGGTTAACAGCCCCACGACATGTCAATACTCTCCCTTCTCAACCTTGGGTTCCCTATTACCAGCTTTCCTGTCCCCTCCTACCTTCTCGTCCTTGCCCCTGGGCTGGTGTGCCTGTTCAGTCTCGTTTTGTTTTATGGGCCTGTCTAATCTTTGGCTAAAGGGTGAATCTCAGAAGTGACTTCGTACGGAGCTAAAAGGGTGTCTGTGGGCCGTACTTTCGGGGTTTCTCCAGTCTCTGTCAGGCCGGTAAGTCTGGTCTTTTTTTGTGAGTTAGAATTTTGTTCTACATTTTTCTCCAGCTCTATCTAGAATCCTCTATTGTGATCCCTGTCAGAGCAGTCAGTGGTGGTAGCCGGGCATCATCTAGTTGTACTGGACTCAGTCTGGTGGAGGCTGTGGTAGTTGTGGTCCATTAGTCCTTTGGACTAATCTTTTCCTTGTATCCTGTTCTCTTCATTCTTCCTTGCTCCCAAAAGGATGAGACCAGTGGAGTATCTTAGATGACCACTCAGCCTTTTAAGACCACAGATGCTACTCAGCAAAGTAGAATGTAGAACATTTTCTTTAAACTATGTTATGCCAATTAAGCTAAATGTTCCCCGAGACCATGGTCCCCACAGCCCTCAGCCTAGTAATTTGGTCCCTCAGGGAATTTGGATATGGAGCTTCCATGACCTCGCCTCGTACAAGTTGTGCTGGCTTCCCCAGTATTGTGTACTGTTTTACCCTTCACCAAAGTTACCACTTATCTATTGTTTATTTAGTATTTTTCCATCCCTACCTCTCTCCTCCCTTGTAACCATCAAAGATTGTTTCTTTTTGTGTGTAAATCTTTTCATGAGTTGTTATAGTAGTGGTCTCATACAATATTTGTCCTTTTGTGATTGACTTATTTTACTCTGCATAATGTCCTCCAGATTCATCTGTATTGTGAGATGCTTTGCAGATTCATCATTGTTCTTTATTGTTGGGTAGTACTTCATTGTGTGTATGTACCATAGTTCGTTTATCCACTCATCTGTTGATGGGCATCTAGGTTGTTTCCATCTTTTTGCTATTGTGAACAATGCTGCAATGAACATGGGTGTGCATATGTCTATT